CCGCTTCAGCCCCCATCCTGTTTTTCCAGGGCCTGATGTACGTGACTGATGCAGACCTAAAAGAAGCTGGGATTGAGAGCCAGGAGGACAGAGCTACAATCCTGGACCACCTCAGACTACACCAGGACAGGCTGAATGGAAGTACAGGTACCACAGGACTCTCATTGCTTCTCATTGCTTCAGATTCTCATCTGAAGAGGATAGCTGGGACCAGGTAAAAGTCACTGGCCCTTCTTGTTTAATTTAGTGCCATTTTTATTGTCAGGCACTAAATTAATTTTCCATTTAATTTATTTTGATCAATCTAAATATGATTTCCATTACATTAACCTGTACTTTACCTGGAGTAGAAATATAGAAGAAAGCCTGGCTTCTTGTTGGATTGCACATCTTCTGCGGCCTGGCGTTGAGCTTTCTGTTTTGTATCTCTGGACTTTAACAGTTTTATATTTAGGGAATCAGTTGTCCCCAACACCTGGTTTAGAGTGAACTATAAAGGTCAGGTATTCAAGTTGACTAATTAGCCTTTGGCTGTCTGAAGATTGAAAGCTTGCTTTTCATTTGACCTCAGAAAGTCTCCCCAGCTCCCCAGGCAGAGTGACCCGGAAGCACTCCCTGGGCTCCTCCATGGACCTGATCCGGTCCAGCAGTCGCCTCTCCAGTCAGAGCTTAAGCCTGTTCCGGCAGAGTTTCCTGCCTCGCCTGCGCCGCAGAGACAAGACGGCCTTTTCCTCCTGCTCCCAACTGGCTACGCTGGATGAGGTCTTCTCACCGCCACTGCCTGGACCCCACAGCAAAAGGGACCCCCCTGAGCTTGGACTGTCTTCTACGCTTCCCCCCAGAAGAGGACAGAAGAGGTACCCTGTTCTTAGTGGAGAAAGATCGGGAAACTCTCAATCCGGTACCATTTCTCTGCATACATCCAAAAACACCTGTCATATCCAGAACCCTGTCACATGAAAAAGAATAACCTTGACCTACGTCTAATAGAATCATAACAACATCACGCAAAAAACTCAGCAGACTCAAACACGGGCATGGTCTGGTAGCTTGACCTTGTGCATCCAATGGGTCTGAGGCAGATGCTCACAGAAGTGCTGTGGGAAAACTAGACAATTCTGCCGTGCTCGAGGGCAATAATTTTAATATGGCATTGCTCAGCCCCAGATCCGCTAGCGAGGGAACTCGGCATGCACTACAGAAACTTACATGAAAACAGCACTAAATAAGCTGTCATCCTTTCTCAAAGGAACTGTACAAGAAGTGTGTCTTATAACCTTAAAGTTTTTCTCTTAAGTAACACAGAAAAAGACACTAGTACTGCACATCTTGTTTCAGTGCACAGTTTGGTTGCTACACAGAATTATTTTTTAAACTGGGCAGGGTTTTGCTAGCTGTTCAAAACCACTGGAACGTCTTATGTCAAAAGCAGATTGAAACTTAAATGTCATAAAAGACAAGCAAATTATGTTTCATAGCCTCACTGACTCACAGCAAGAGGTTCTGCAGGTATGGTGTTTACACCAAATTAAATCTCACTAAGGACACCTAGTATTAATATATTACAAAGGATCGTACATCTTGGAATTTAAATCCTTACCTAAGCCAGTCCAGGCAGCCAAGATTTCAATAACAGTACACCTCTTCTCTGTGTATATTCAGCAACCATAGTCCCTCCTCTAAAAAGTCACCAGTTTGCACTGACATGTGTGGACTGTCCTTTTGTAAACTGAATTAGTGTCCAAAAATTAGTGGACAAAAAGAATGCTTCCTGTGCGTTTCAGAGGTCTTTGGTTCAACTGGTTTGTTTGACTAAAATATAATTGATTTGATTAGGTAATTAACAATCACATTCTTTTGCCAAATATCCAGCAAGAGAGTGGAAGGAAAGGTCTGGTATTTGACTCTGTTAAGAAAAGAAGTCCAGATGACTGTCCTGGGGTTGATTCATTGGAAAGCCTAAGTTGCAATGCTGTAAAAATCCACTAGGTGGAACAATGGGGAGCCAATGGCAGCACCAGTGACAGGGCCTTGGGAAAAGAAGGTTATGAATGTGGTTATCTCTCAGGAATGATTTGTGTTACATTCCCCGAATACCTCAGGAGCTTTGGCGTCGTGTCGAGGTCTGTGGTGCACGCCAGGGCAGGGGAAGATGGGAGAGGAAGAGGGGTCAGGTTAGGGGCAGGCAAGAGAAGAACCTGCAGGTGTGTGGACAAACCTCCACTTGTACAATGACTTGACCCTGGGTGCGAGTTCACACACAGAGCCACAGAGGCTGAAGAAGACCGATGCCAGAATGCATGGATGGATGGATCTGTACTGCTAGAGGGAGTGACTGTTGAACTGAGAGGCATGGCACTGGCATTCACAGTGGTCTGAATTGCCGCATCATAGCACTGGGGTCCGGGGTTCAATTCCAGACCGGGGGTGCGGTGTGCATGGAGTTTGTATGTTCTTCCCATGTTCATGTGGCTTTCCTTTGGGTGCACCAGCTTCCCCCTCACAGTCCAAAGAAATACAGGTAGGTGAATTGGCTTCTGGGAAAACTGGCCCTGGTGTGAGTCTGTGTGTGTGGTGTGTGTGGTGTGTGTGATGTGTGTGTGTGTGCCCTACAAGGTACTGGCATCCTGTCCACCCTGTCGCTTGCCTGGATAGGCTCTGTCTCTCCCAGACCCTGCATTGAAGAAGCAGTCAGAAAATGGATGGGTGACCAAGGCACAGCCAATGGTTGTGGCTTCAGAATTCCTTAGGCTACTTTATATGCTGTCACTACTATAGTTAACATTACTACAAAATAGCGAGTAATAACGTCATGGCAGACAAATTCCATAATACTAAGACGAAACTGGAGTGTCGCAATCGTGAAACAGTTAGAAATGACGAACAACACGTACGCCGTGCCTCGCCTCTGCGTTTGACGTAGTGGTGTTGGGCAAGAAAACTATCGTTGTTATGCTGAAGAAATATTTCGCAGTTCTAAGCACTCCTTCTACTGATAAGTGATACAGACTGCTTATCCTGAAGCACTCCGTGGTTGATTCTGTGTCCAAACTGACAGTAAGAGTCTTGGTATGAGGAATCCTGTCTATACAGCTGAGCGCCATCCATTTCGACCTCAATTTCTCCTCCTCTAGCCGGCTCGCCTGGAGGCTCACGCAGTTTACTGCGGTTCTCAGTGACGATCGGCTTCTGTTTGCTAGAGCGACTTGGAAGGTCCAGCCGCATCTCAACACGCTTTACAACCTCCCGGGGTGGAAAAGGACGTTCTGGGATGAGAGTGGCACACATGCCAGTTCACTCAAGTAGCTCTGCTGAGTTGGTCAAGCGCTTGCGCGGTGCCAATAGCCCCATGAAGGAAAAGTCACAGCGCACATTAGTTTGCATTGGCGCAAACTCCTGAGATAGATTCCGTCATTATTACTTCTCCATTCACCCCTGTGGGCATTGGGGTTAATGGTACAGCCCAGGAAAAGGCGCGGTATGTTTGTCTTAAGAGATTCCAGAAGATAACGATATGTGTGTACCTATGCTGGTCTTTTCGCGAAGACGGCATGGCGCAACAGAAAAATGTGTGGAAGCGCCGTTGACGAACGATCACCACACACGGAAAGGAGCAGCCAAAGTGCTCATCAAGGCAGTGGCAATGTGATTCATTTCAAATTCACCTTGGAACCGATGAGCGTTTTTTTTTTCTCTTACGGAGAGCGGTCATAGCCTGCATGTCGTTGTGTTTGAAGGGTGTGGAATTTTAGGAATGCCGCAGATAGCGGTGCTCTTCTCGAGAGAGGCGTGGAAAAGCGCTGTGCTGAACTTGTGAGAACTCGTCCGAATCGTACCGTCTCTCCGGGGTGGCAAGAAGAAAAGAAAATAAGGAGGCGAAGAGCGAAACAGCCTCGGTCTGCTCTGATCTTAAAAGCCGGGCTTGAAGTCGCTGTACTGGACGCCGAGTCTGAGGGGCACAAACGCGGTGGCAATGCGGGCTCTACAGGTAAGCTCCTGCAGAGCTCCCGATCACCCTTCAGGTAGACATGCTGTCGGTAACCTTGTTATCTTACCTAGTGCCTTTGCGCCGTTTTGTGTTTACAGTTGGCGGGGTAGTGTTAATCTTTAACCCCGGTCAAACGGTAGGATAGGGCATTTGTTCTCCTGAAAACGGGTGTTTCATTTGGAAGAGCGAGCTTGCGGGATATAAGCTACCCCTTTCCTAAAATTACTTTTGTCCAAAAGTCGGTCGGCTAAACGTAGATCGACACCTAATCTCCCAAGGAGGTTTATTAATTGATTTTGTATTGATTGTGTCACCGCGATTGTTTTTTTTAGTACTGTATACGAAGGGGGAGACGGTATTTCTGTCTTTTCTTTGGGTTCTGAACTTGGCGACTGGAAGGCTGCGGATTCAAATCCTACCCGACACACTGCTGTTGTGCCCTTCAGCACGGAATTTAACTGCAACCCTAATTGTTCCAGTAAGACAGCCAGCTGTATAAATGGGTGCAAATATAAGTTGCTTTGGATAAAAGCGTCAGCCTTTTCATCAATAGCTGGCTTCGGGTGTTGCTGTGTGTGGCCAGTACTGCTCAGCTGATATGATGATATAAACGTCCGTATGTACATACGGAAAAAAAAAAACTTCTACATATGTTTATACAGTGCTTGCTGTTGTAAATATGGACTACACATACAGTACCACGATGTAGAAAAAAGTGAATTTTAAGGTAGCAATTTTTAATATAGTTGTGAATTCTCTTAAAAGTGTAATTGAACTGATTGGCTTCATTGGTAAAAGCCCAGTTGAGACAAATGCTCGCCGAAGAGACGCTGTAATTAAACACTAGAGGTACAACTGAGAAACAGCTTACTGTTATTCTGATGTGCCTCATCTTAAGTCTGTGCACTTTTCCCAACTGAGTTTAGGAACTTAGTTGTTCAGAGAGCATTTGCATGAATCCCGGTTTAGGAAGGAAACCATCCCATTGCTATAAATATCAGAACAAAACAGCATCCGAATTTCCGCCTGGTTTTGGCACCAGGTTTATCCTGTGGGCTTCTTTCTCTCCTGACTTCTCTAACCATTGGACATTTTAACAAAATGGACTGAGTGTTGCACTCTGAAATAGCAGAACTGTCCTTGAATAACGTAAGGGATTTAAAGAAACAACCTTCTCTAATCTGTTGAATTAAATGGATTTAGGCATGCACATTTTTGCATAATGTTTAAAAAAGTCCAGTTACTGTGTTATATTTTGTTCAGCACCCACTAACCTATTGGAGAATGAAATGACCCTCTCTGCAGGTACTGTACCATTTAATTTGACTCTTGGGTTCACTTAGGAGGTAATGAAAGGTGCATTCTGCTACACTGTCGGATCTCGCAGAGCTACATGAACTCTAGTCCATTTCAGATAGCATTGTAGCCTTCAGTGCCGTACCACCTGCATTTTATAGCTACTCCATTTCTACATGTTCAAATATTACTCTACATTTAAAGCAAAGCCCCTGGTATTTGTAGCTCATTCAATTTTTAGTAGTCAAGCGATCTGAGGATGTCATCCAAGAAATTAAAATAGGCTTAACATGCTTTGGTATCTTATCAATAGTGTAAAGAACAAATCAAGGTGAGTCATACTTAAATGATACAATTCATTGGTAAGATCTCACCTGGAATACTGTATTCAGTCTCAGTCAAAACGTTACAACCATTACTACTATTGTAGAGGCAATGCAATGGACAGCAGCCCGACAATTATGTAAGGGCTTGATTAAAGTATACAGAAACTTGAAAGGTGTTGACCAGCTTCTTCAAGGTCAAGGACTTGGGGACAACAGCAGATATTATGTTAAGGGCCACTCAAGACAGAAAATAGGGGCCTCTTTACGCAGGGAAACTGGAGCTCTGGTGGACTGGATAAGCAGCCAGCAGACAAACGGGTCAGGGGGGCTGATATCCATTCATGTGCAACTGGCTCCTGAGTTAGCACACTGTACAGAGCCCTGGCCTGCATGCTCTCTGCGAGCTGTGGCTCAGAAACCACACCATCGTTTCTGCCTGTCTGTAGAACACAAGATATTTTGGAATTTGCAGTTTGTCATCCTTATCCGCATACTTCAGTTACTTCAATTGTTAAGAATTATTTTTACACCGGCTGCACATAAGCACGTTAGAGACATTGTAGTTCTAAGAACAACTTTTGATCTTTTCATTTTCACGGGGAAAAATGACAGGGTTTGTTTGTTATCCAAATAATTCTCTTCTGTTATTCTGTTTTGTTTCTAGTAAGAGGAAGAGCGTGGGCACATACTTGAGTCAGCTGAAGGTAAGGGACTGAGAAACCCCGTAAGTGGCCATTTCTACAGACTTCCCTGGCATGTTTGCACAAGCAGCAACAGAAATTACAGCATGTGGGAATTCTGACATCAGTAAGCCGGTTACATCCAGTGTTATACCAGGCTCTGCAATTAGTAAGTTAAAAGGAAGGGCAGAGTTTTGTTTGGGCCACATTGTATTTCTAACCTGCGATGTCTGAATTGGAGAGGCCACGTACATGTCAGCTTTGAAGTTCTGCACATTCAGCTTGAACCTTCTAGATTTTTGTTATATAAATTCCTGTGATTATTGATCTTGTGACATGCCCTATTTCCTCATTTTCCAATGAATGTATTCCATTTCCAGATTCGTGACCTACCAAATGTAAACCATAGCTAACTGCCACTTAATCCAAAGTGAGACCGGGATAGAATGTTTTAATAGCGTTATTTACTATACAGACAGTACGTACGTATTTGTTGTTGTAACCACACATGAATACCGTGCACATGGCACTGACGTACTCTCTTTGTTGGATTAATGGAGGTGTTTGGGGGCAAGGGAGGGATGGACACGGCGAAAGAAGCCCTGAAGAAGGAGCTGGAGGAGGAGCTGAAGCTGAGCACGGAAGATCTGAGGAGTCACGCGTGGTACCATGGACAGGTCCACAGAGAGGTGCCGTACCGAACGCCCCCAGCGTGGAGAGGGCCTGCTGCCGGGCCAGCTGACCTTTCCACCTGCATTCCATTCCACCGGACAGCGTCTCCTTAAAGCCATTAACGAGGCTTGAATTACCTGACCAGTCCTCATCCTGTCCTGGACCAGTGCCCATCACCTTAGCCAGTCCCAGTGGATACGAAGGCCTTCGGCCGTTTCCGAAAAACCTCCATAGATTCCGTTGGGTTATTGATGTCAGTCTGCTTTCCCAACACGAAAAAAGAGAAATGGAAACAAAAGTGTTTTTTGCGGTAACAGTAAAGCACCAGATTCGACAGGACACTTTTCAATCTCTGCACTTTGGTGTAGCAAGTGAAGCTCAATCATTTAAGCTTCATTGTCTAAAGAAATTGCGGGCATAGTTCGACCTTGAGATGGCACCATATAAAACAAAAATGAACTTTTTTATAAGTGTTTTAACAGGAGAGTATACGAAGACTAAGAAAGGATTTATTGCATCTTACTGGTTTGGTTATTAGCTTGTTGTCCCAAGCGGTCCCCCCAAACAACTTTCTAGATGGATACAATAAAGTGGCTAGGTAGCTTATTAAAAAAAAAAAGAGGTGTTTTGGTTATTTTTCAGTCTTACACCTAAATGCACTTCCAGTCCCGACCAAGGCTGTCCTACACTGTCACTTGTAGGAAGTGTTTTCTTGAAACGTCTTACTGCAGTTGGCCAAACTCCTCCTCATCTCCCTCTCCCTCTCCCTGCAGGTGGCCGGAACCCTGGTGGAGAGAGATGGGGACTTCCTGATCCGGGACTCCCAGAGCAGCTCGGGCGACTACGTCCTGACCTGCCGGTGGAAGGACCAGCCCATGCACTTCAAAATCATCCGCGTGGTGTTGCGGCCCAAGAAGGTAACACTGTGCTCCTCCGGCCGGGGATCTCTGCCAGTCAGGCGTCTTTCAGCCAGGATTGGCTGAAATTACCTGCTCCATGAAATGTAGTCAAGAAACAGGAAAGATCTGAAGCTCGAAGAAATTAAGGATTTGTTTCCAGTATTAGCAAAAAAAGCCTTTCCTGCTGTGCCCATTGCTTCATAAGTTGAAAGCAGAATTTGTAGAGTGGTCCATACACGATAAGGCATGGAATCACACAGGAATTATCCCACTATAACAGTTCCACCATCAAAATGTTTCAAATATGTGGTCCGGTTAAACCAACATGCACAGCAGTGTGAACCTATCTTATGCTTCTCAGTGTCGGTGTACAGCAGTGTGACCCCACCTGCTGCTTTTTAACAATCAATGTGAGTTACAGAAAATTGCCCTTGCACTATGCCTACATACGCTGAGGTATGTTTCAACATATCTGGAGCTCTGTTCCGCAGCTGGGTGGAGTTCGGACTCAAGCTCAGCTGTTTGCATAGGAACAGGCAACTCGTATAAGTGTAGAAATGGATCAATGTGCTGTGCAACAGGAGTCTGACCATGTCCCACGGGGCTTTGCAGGGCTATTCCCGGGAGCTGTTCCAGTTTGAGCAGGACCAGTTCGACAACGTGCCCGCCCTGGTCCGCTTCCATGTAGGCAGCCGCAAGCCCATCTCCGATGCCTCGGGCGCCATCATCAGCCACCCTGTCAACCGCACCGTACCCCTGCGCCTCACCAGTGAGCCCCAGGGGCGCAGCACCCCCCAGACGGGAGGAGAGAAGAAGCAGACCTGCCAGGGCCCCTCATCCAACAGTGTGAAGCGCCTGAGCCTCAACTCCAGCCAGATGGAGGCCTCACTCCATAACGGCAGTCTGCTCAGGTGATTCTATCTCCAGTGAGCCTTGAGGGACAGGCTAGCCTGGAACGGCACTGATTTTTGTCTTCGTGGTGTCTCCGGGCTCCGGAGGAAATACAAAAGAGAAAGCTCCCGTTTCGTGAAATATAGGCAAGGAGCAGGAAAGGTTTGAAGCTCACAGAAATTAAGGGGTTGTTTCCAGTAACGGCAAAAGAAGCTTTTTCTGGTGTGCCAATTGTTTCAGGCTGCAGAATTTGTAGGGGGGTTGAACACTTATCCCGACACCACAAGGCTTAGAATCACACAGGAATTATCCCAATATACCGGTGGTCCAAGATGAAGTACATTCAGGCACCACTGCTCAACCCCATTACCATGCAATCCGCAATTCCCAAATAAAATGACAGCATAAAGGCATACAAACCACTTGCTGGCACGCTCCTTCAGCATGGAGAGGCGCCGCTGCTTGGGCTCTTCCTGCAGGAGGGTGGGCAGTCGGCACTGGTGGAAGACTAGTGGTGCAAAGCGGAACCAGCTTGTTGCAGCTTGTTTCACTGAGTCAGTCTGGTAACCGCAGCTCCACTCCGGAGCAGCTTTTTCCCACGGGAACCACCTCCACTTGCTCTCTTCAAAAAAAAGAAACAGGGAAAAACAGCCACGCAGAGTCTGGTCACCTAATCGCAGCACTCCTGCGGTGAGCAGTTCCTCCTCACGGGAGGAGGGTATGTATATTAATTGGGAATTTCCCATTTCCTGTTGTGGCTAACATGTTCCCCCAATAAAAATGGAAGTTGTTCTGTAAAGATAAGGTTCATCTCAATGCAAGTTGAGACGACCATCTTTTTCCCTTTTCTTTCTAATTTTTAATGCCCATATTTTATAATTCTGCTGCATTAAAATGTCTGTTTTAATTTAAACCACTTCACTTAATGCAATTTGGAACCTCATGACTACCATGTGGAGAACAAATGCATTACATTCCAACTGAATTGCTCAGCTCATGACTGTAAAAAAACTACAGAAGGTGGTGGAGACAGCTGAAGGGCTCACAGATATAGAACCCCCTTCCATCCAGACCACTTTCACCACACACTGCCTCAGAAGGGAGAATAATGTAACCAAGGATGAAAACCATCCTGGGAACATACTTTTCTCTCTTCTCCATTTGGGCTGAAGATTTAGGAGTATAAAAGCCTGGGTCTCTATGTTCAAAGAAAGCTTCTACCCCCACAGCCATAAGACTCTAAAACCACACCTCTTAAATTCTCCTACCCCCACTACCCCTACCCCGCATTAAAGTCTAAATACTGCCACTACTTGAATTTTGCACACTGATGCTGTCTCAGTGATGGTTAAAATCATACCTGCTACCATGTTCCTGTCTCTTGTCAGTGTTATGTCATCGGTTATGTCATGTGAAGAAAACACGCAAGTAAGCATTTCATCGTACTCGGGTACAGATGTAAACTTGGACTTGAATGACAGGAAGGGTTGATATTTAATTACTAATTTGTCTGATCCACTTGCACCTACAGTGTTTCTACAGCTGGGTATTTTGCTAGAGCAGTTTAAGTGAAGCACTTGGCTCATGGGTATAACGGCAACATCTTGCATCTCACCAGGGGTTTGAACCCATAACATTCTAGTTTCAAGCTTGGAACCCTGACCACTGCTGCCTATCAGGAATGTGACAGCTTTTTTCACATCAAGATAACTTAATTTGCCAGCTGAATTCATAACTTGAAAATTCTCCTGTGTAGTGAAATAAACAGTCTGTCTTTATCCCTTTCTCCGTCTGGAAAAAAACAGGGAGAAGAGTGGTAGTCACCCTGCCAGCCTGGAGTGTCTGGGCAGGAGACCTTCTCTGCAATCAGCCCTATCCGATAGTAACCTGCGCTCAGGTAGGAGTACATTTACTGGCTCGCTGTCTCTTCCTGGCCCTTTTTGACCAGACATTTACTTGTGCACAGGTACATACACACTTGGGTTGCTACAGAAAACTAAAAAAACATTTGTAAAATAAAAAGCAAGCTTGCAAACGTCCTACATAAAATCTTGCTCCAGTTCCTTACCAACCTCCTCATTCTCCACTCTCTCTGTCCAGGTGTTCCCCAATCCTCTCAGTCTAACGGCACAGACAGAGATGGGCCCCCGGTCTCGCCAGTTTTCCGTACAGGTAGTGAACCCCTACTGAACCCCCCTGGAGGATGCCATGCCACCCTACAGCCAGAAGGTGGCACTGCTCTGCGGGGCTCTGACGGGCAACTCCATTCCCGGGCGCCTCCAAAGCCCCTCCGGATCTCTGTGATTTTTCCCAACACACTCACCCCACAATCCTCGGCACCTGCAAATGACCCCTCCAGCTATTATGGGGAGCTAGTACCAAGAGCACCCCCTCCCTCCTCCTCTCGATGTCACGTGGACCGATTGAGGGCAGAAGAGAAATGGCAGAGCCGGGCCCGGATCACAGAGACTAGCTTTGGGTTCCTGGACTCTGGGGGATCCTCTCTTTTTGTGGAGGATCATGGGATGATTGCCGAGGAGGAGGATCTTGAGGGAGAGCCCCATTTTGTCCGCCCGGAGATTGAGACAACCTCTTGCTTCCGGCTTGACCGGTTCCAGTCGCTTCTGCTTCCTGAAAATAACCGACCCCTGGACCCTGGGGTGATCAAGAGACTTAAAGAGCTTTTCACCAAGAATGATGCCAAGACCACAGCCATGCACATTCTCCATGTGGACTGCAAGGTAACTAATTTACCTGCAAAAATAAGATAAGCACCCTTCTCGGAGATCATTGGTCTTGAGTTCTGGTACTTTTGCTCAATCCTATGACAGATTAATCCTAAATCTCACCTATTTTTATAGTTGCCATTGGCTTGATTAGTAGTTCAGGTGGGTAGCTGCGTCAGCATGCGTAGGCTGCAAAGGAACAAGTAATAGGTTTATTCCATGCTGAAAAAAAGAAGAAAGAGAACACAACGTTTCGGCCGTGGAGCCTTCTTCAGGTGTCCCACCTGTTTGACACCTGAAGAAGGCTCCACGGCTGAAACGTTGTGTTCTCTTTCTTCTTATTGGCTTGATTAGGTTACCAAGAACTGAAATGGAATTAAAGCTAGAAGATGCTGTAGATCTCCCTAGCTAGTCTGTGCTAGAAAAGCCAATGGAATATTCATTCTCTGGCAGTGTCTAGGCAGACCGTTAGTCCTTTGGAAGAGCCAGCCCTCTGCAGTGCCTTTTCATTCCCTTCAGTAATACTGTCTCTGCTGGGCAGGTGGCGCGGATCACTGGGGTCACAGATGAGCAGAAAAGGCTGATGGGAGTGGGTTCGGGCCTGGAGCTGATCACACTGCCCCACGGGCGACAGCTGAGACTGGATCTCATGGAGAGGTGGGCACCCTGCAAGCATGCATGCAACGTTATTGATGGCATAAGAACTGCAGTCCGATCCTTGCTTTACTCTGTCTCATAATAAGGTGCGCACAGCTCATTGAACCCCAGATAGTTCATTCTGCTATGGGAGTCTTATTTCTACCTTTGCCCACCCTCCATGCCTAAAATGTCTATTACTGTTCCATTAAAATGTCTTCTTTTCAGGATCTGAATCAGCATAACGCTTGCAGCGATTTCAGTTAAAGGTGTTCGAAAGGAAGGCGATGGCTGCAGTCTTCAGAATAATGCCAAATTAATTTTCTCAGGGAGCTAATTTCATTCTGATTATAACAGGCCATGAAGCAAACTAGAGAGCTTATCTCTTTGAAGACTTATGTCAGAGCAATAAAAAGGGGGTAGCTGCTCATTTTCTTACGGCTGGACTGAAAACAAAAGAACATTGATATGCAGGCATTGATAGCCACTCCCATCTCATTCCTGGCACACACCCTCTCTCTGAGTCAAGTCTTCCTAACTGCCCCTGTCCTCCTTCAGGCATCACCTTATCGCCCTGGGCATTGCCATCGACATCCTGGGCTGCACTGGGACCGTCAGCCAGCGCGCCGACGTGCTGCACAAGGTCATCCAGCTGGCTAACGAGCTCAGACACTCAGCCGGTGACCTCTTTGCTTTCTCTGCCGTCATGAAGGCCTTGGAGCTGCCCCAGGTACAGAGTGCGTTTCGCCTTGGCCAGATAGGGTTCCCAAGTCACAAGGTCCAAAAATGGATTTCATTGCACAGCACCCCTCACCCTGCCAGAGCTGCCCAGAGTGTAGTGCATCACCATAGCAAGTGGTAGGCAAGGGGTTAATAAAAAAGTATCCATGTTTTTTCAACAACAAATTACAAGGTGCTGTATCAGATAAAGTTACAGAGGAACAAAAAGTACTGGAAAAGCACATTTTTAAATGTAAGCTGTAAGAGTAAGCAGTTAGCATCCCCGATTCTTTTGGGAAGAGCATTCCGCAGCCCAGAAAGCTTTGTCACCCACAATTCTAAATCTGGTCTTGGGAACACTTAAGAGCCAGTGGATTGAAGGGAATAAGAAAATTCCATTTGTATTTAATGTCAGCAATACAGGGAGGTCGGATTGGAGTTAGACGAGATTAAGGCTTAAAGACGACAAATAATTAGTAATCACGTCTGGAAGCCAATGCAGTGATACCAGAAAGAAGTGCCTGCTGCGTTTTGATTCTACTGTAGTTTAAGAATGTTTTCACAAGTCCAGAATGCATGGCACTGCAGTAATCAAAGACAAACATGGACTTCATTAAGAGGACCCAGCTGAGAAATATTAAGAAAGAAGATGTCCTAGTTATATCACATATACAGTATAGGCTTTAAAAACACAAGTTACTGAATTCTGGTGTGTTCGATAATTAAGACTCACCAATACCTACCGTATTTGGAATTGCAAGTTGAATGTTTTTCACGCCTGAGCCTGCAGTCAGAAACCTCGCAACCACACACAGGGGAGAATGAGGAAATGTGGACAGGCTAAGCTCAAGAGTGCTGAAACTTAATGGAGACAGTTTCAGACAAAAGTAACACTCCTCCCATCAGATTAACTCTAGTGTATTTGTCAGTATACATCATAAAACTATGCAAAACAAACCTGCCAAGTTGCGAATCTCCTCTGAAATGAGCAAGACACAGCCTGTCAGGCAGCAATTCCCGTGTGAATGGTATGCACACAATTCTCCCTGCAGGAACACGGCGCTTCACACTTCTGCTAAACCAGCTAGGGCCAAGAGCTTAGTTAAGCCATGTTTGGGTTGGGTCTTTGCTTGGGTTTGTTCCTAGTTGCTGACAATCAAATTTTAAACCACTGCAAGAGTGACCGCAATTTCATTTTTAAGACAATGTAGCTGGTGGCATGAAACAGAACTCAAGAGCAGGAAACCCTGGTTTCCTTCAAGAAACTTACGAATGCACATATGCAACATCCAAGTTTGATTTATAGAGCACACATAGCAATCGAATGGGTGCTTACTACCCAACGGGACAGATGGGCGAAATGGCCGCCTTTCTAAACTATGTTCCCGTGACCCTTTCTTAGGTGACGCGGCTGGAGATGACCTGGCGCGACCTGCGAAGGAACCACACGGAAAGCGCCATTGCCTTCGAGAAGAACCTCAAGCCCTTCTTGAAGGCTCTCAACGAGGGCCAAGGTACAGCGGCCGCCTGCACGCCAGTGCCCTTCCACGCGTCCAAAAGGGCAGCCCTCTTCCCCTCGAGCTGCTTTCTGCAGCACAGTAATAAGGCTTTTAATTCCTCAGTTCCAGATGAGACGTCTCCATGCCACACAGCCCTGCCCCACGTGCTGCCACTGCTGAAGCTGATGGAGGGAGTCGACCTGGGCGAGCACACCGAGCGGGGCTGTGAGCTGCTGCTGAGGACTCTAGAGGTCGCCCGCTCCTTCAGCATCAAAGCAGAAGCCTACCAGGCCCAGGCTCAGACCCTGCTGTCAGGTGAGACACACTGGAGCCACACGCACGGCTAGGACTCTGCTGAGCTCCCCACCACACAGAACACTTCAATCGGTCTGGATCAGGGGTACCCGGATTCCACACCATTGCAAATCTTTGATCCATCTAATCTTTACTGACTGATGCAATCTGCTGCATGAGGGTTAATTAACCTGGATCAATTCAGTACTTACTAGAAGATACAAAGTCCAATAACGACACAATGTAGGTGTCAAGGCAGACACACCCAGGCCTAGCCCTTGGGTTGGTCATGGCTTGCTATTGAGACTGTTGTATTGTTATTGAGGCAGCATATCGAGACAAATCGTAAACATTCTGCAAGCATATAGCCAGACTACAATTTCATATAATTTTTCCCCGATTTTATCAGTGTAACAGGATCTAAAATACTGCGCACTACTGCATTTTGCAGAAAACTGCCCAGCTGAAAAACAATGGATGTAGGAATTTCCTACAACAAGAACTCTTCCTGCTTGTGCATTCTTGTGCCATGTCAAAAGGCCACTGGCTGATGCATGTGTCACTCCCTTGTCAACTACAGGCTGGGAACCAATCCCAGAGCTGCTCGAGGCCTTCCACACAGAGTTTGCACTCCGCCTCCTGTGGGGACAGAAGGGCGCGGAGCTGGAGCAGAAGGAGCGCTATGAGAAGTTCAACAAGATCCTGAGTGTGCTGTCGGACAAACTGGAGCCAGTGGAGTCAAGCAAACACTAAACACACCCTCCTGCCACAATGCAGATCCCATGGTGTCTGCACAAGCTGCTGGAGCACATTTCTAACCCACAATTACAGAGTGGTCCATTCTGCCACTACAGAGAATGATTGCAATAATGTTTATTTTACATTGTGCCTTTTGTGATTCACCACCACAAAACACTTTACATTATGCACAGGCATTATGGAAAACCTGGCTACAGTCCTGAGCGGAGTGGAAAACCTGTGTAGAAGTCTCAAATTATTGCCTTCTTAAGACTACCATTCCTGTCCAGGCAGTACCCAACTCCAGACAGAAAATACAGAGTCTCACTACTGTGACTGGGAATCGCAAACAAAAAATCAATTTCTTAATATTAAAATAACTTCTTACGCCTGCTAAATGGTGTTATTCCAAATCCCATGGATTAAGGAAAGTCTTAAGTGGCAGCATAGAAGCAGACCTTTCCTAAAGGTAATGGTTGAGCTCAAATCACCTTGTAGTTCTTGGCACATTCCACTGCAGAACATGCCTGCAACACAAACACCATCACTGAACTTCCAACTGGACTGGGGAGTTCACTACAGTAGCATGCACATATGTAACACCCAAGTTTCATTTATAAAGCACCTCATCATTTCAAACCAAAGTCATAAGGGGCCTTTCTAATAAACATTCCATCTTTTCAAAATGTAATGCCTAAAGATGACATTTACAGTACATCTTACCTTCTAATAATTGAGAGAATTACAGAAAAAGTTTATGTACTGTACATAGCAGTAGTGCATAATTTTATAGTATGTTCTGTTTGACCCAAGAGCCAACACATTTTGTGTACAGTGTCATGAGAATGTGGCTGGAGTATATTTGTACATATCGGCATTCAAGAATTCAAGGGCTACGTTCAGACTGCTATGTACAACTCCAGACTGCACAGGCAAAACAATTAAGTGTGCCAAACATTCATTCTTAATCTTAAGGCTCACTTCACATCAAACTCAATTCAGGATAAAACTGAAATCTTGTGCAGGTGAGTGTCAGTGTTTTTTTTTGGTCACTGACGAAAAAGCACATTAAGGGCAAACTGCCTCTATTTGTTGAGTACTTGGCTCCACAAAAGGTAAAACGGAAGACTGCTAAATGAAATGCTTGCATACCGAGATCACTTTTTCAGTTCTTGAATGTGTTTGTCATGTATGTTTTTATACATGCAAGGCTAGAGTAAAAAGGGAGGTGGTGTAATTTTAGCTTTATTAATATGCACTTTTTTAAAATAAAGGACTATGGTTTAATAAAAGGCTGAAATGGAAGTAATTTTAACTCCAGTATTCTTTCAACAATGTTAGCACTGTAATCATGTCAAGAACTTTCCATTACATAACACAAAGTGGATTCTTCCACAGACATCTGAAAAAAAGAAAGAAATCCAGACGAGTTATTTTTTAAAACGTGATCATTTATATCCCATTGAAATAATGGAAACTGTAGGCAATATTTGTTTCAAACTATGTACAACACACTATATAATACGAGAGAAGGCACCAAGATTCATGGAGTGTGATCGTCTACTTAGGGCACACACAGACAAGAGTTCAATCTCCTTCTTAAACATAAAAATCCATTTGCACTTTAAAAAGTTTAGCCAGATCCAGAATGGAATCAGTCTCAAGAGGATAACCGTGGTAAAGTGGTAGCTAAAATATATTATTTCTCACATATAAATACGACAGTCCTAACAGTTTGCATCGTTTTCTTTTTTCATATTCCCCCTCTCACCCGGGGGTTTCGATGGAGGAGCCCACCCCCTTTTTTCGAAGAATATAAAGTGACAGAAACTGGAGACCGTGTTTAGAGCAAAACCGAAATGAGATGTCTTAACTGGAGAAAGGAGCGCAGCTGAGATGTTTGCAAAACGAGAACAGACATCGGAAAGAGAGACAGCTGCACCTATGGCTGTCGGGGAGTGTGTTAACCAGGCCCGTACAAATAAAGACTCCTCTGTGCAGCCAGCCTGGACTTCGAACCCACTGGAAATCTGGCTGAAGCGCTTTACGCCGATTAGGAGTCTTCATTCCTCAAGGCGCGTTCAGGGTGATGCATGATGGACGTCATTAAGTTTTTCAAGTCCAGCAGCGGCAGCAGCAATAACTGACAAAAAAACAAAATCTTTCCCACTCAAGCTTCTCCCGTTCCAGGTGCGCGGTGGCAATATTTACAGGAGGGAGAAGGCCGCACCAGCGCAGTTGGAGAGAGGAAGGAGAAGACGGTGGTGCCAACTTAGCCAACATTACAATCTGCGACACCCACCGATTAACCCAACCCTTAAGCCACAGGGTCTAAACCTCCAGCACACAAACAAACAATTCCCAGGAAAATCTGTCGGCTTCAGTGGAGAGTGGGTGAGGGTGAAAACCTACCCCGTGGAAAAAGAATTTCCCCCTTTAATTAATAGCAGTATCGATAATATCAAATTGACTTTGAATTATGGAGAACTTTTCGCAGGGAGACAGCAGAAGTACTTCAGTACACGGGACTGGAAGGTTTAGTTTAGCCAGAATGGGCCGAAGACACCCGTTTCTGGATACACCAGATTAGACCAGATTAGCACAAGGGATCGTTTTCGTATTCCAGGAAGCGCGAGACTGGTCAGACCTTTGGCGGGGGCGAATCACACAAACAAGCCCTTGGGGTGAGAAATGTAAAAACGGACAGCAGCCCTCATTTCCCTTCTTTAGTGGCACGACAGACCAGGTTGGCTTCTTTTAAAACAACGGGGGTTATCTGGTGAACCCGTTTCGCAAACGCCAACCAAAAAATTTAAAAAAATAAAAACATCATCATTAAATATTGCTTATCCACGCTAGAGCTTCCTTGGGACAAAATCCAGTCAGTGGCAGAACTGGGAGCTCCGCCTTTTGTTTTTACTTTCGGTTGGTTTCAGCGTCTGCCTTCATGCCTCCCTGCCCACTGTCCACCTGCTCTCTCTCCGTCTCTTCCCCACCACTGGGCTCGGCCGCTTTCCTGAAAGGCGACCTGCTTGACTCTCCTCGAATTTCAACAGAAACTTTTCCGGGTTGCGTTCTTGCTGCTCTGCTTGGCTCTGCGTTTGAAGAATGCGGACTCCCTGTCGGCTGCCGGGGGCGGCTTCCTGCTTCAAGCTGGGTGGTGTGTGTGTGGTGGTGGCGGTGGGAGGAGGGCGGCGAAGATCACTTCCTGTGCAGGGTGATTTTGACGTAGGAAGTGGGGATGTAGCCCTCGTCGCCATTGGCTCGGCGCACCCTGGTCCAGCCGTCTCCTTTGTCCTCCTCGACCACGCTGAAGATCTCCCCGTCCGTCATGGAGATGGTGCCCTCGCTGGAACCTGGAAGAGACAGCCGGTGTCAGAGGACTGGGCAGTGGGCACACAGACCCAGGCTGGGCTCGAACCCTCGGGCAGCACTGCTAACGGAACCCCCCTCCCGAGCCGCTGTTTTCCGAGCACACCTCAGGACTTGAGCACAGCGCTGTTTTGCATACACGCACTGATGCAGCCACTGCCAACGTTAAAAATGAGCCTTGAGAATTTTGCTGTGCAGTCCTCGGACTCGTGGTTCCGTTACAGATTAAAAATGGGAAAACAACGCACTAACGCCACCTCCTGCTGCCAGAGACCGTGATCAGGGCTGCTAATGCAACAGCACAACACCACACCCTGCAGAACTCCACCGATAGTCCCAATCCTCCATTCTCTACAGAGCGACACAACCCCCTCCCCGCTGCACCGCCTAGGCCGCGAGACACCAGGTGCAAACCGGGCCCGAGACACTGAATTCGAACCGGGCCTTGCCTGCGAAGCTGTAGAGCGCCGTGCACTTTCCGATGGGAGGGACGGGGTCCTCGTCGTCAAAGTCATCATCAAACTCGGCGTAGACGGCCTGGGAGGTCTGGTCAGGGTTGCTTCCGTCGGAGTGGGCGCCGTCGGGACTGCAGGCAGACGCACAGACAGACCTCAGGGCTCACTGCTGGGCCAGTCGATCTTCACAGTCATCCCTGAGCCTAGAGCATTCCTCCATCGCATTGCTTGTCGGACTTTTTTCTTTTAAAGTTATGTTATTTAACTTCTTGTTGTTGCTGCTATTCTGGTTTATGTTTTTGGCGTTTCCTGTAATGTCTCTGTATTGGAGCATACATGCAAATAAGCATGTTTCATTGCACTGCATTGCGTGCATGTGACAAAAACCGAACTGAACTGGAGGGAACTGGGTGAGGATCTCTTGTGAAAGCATGAGGGTAGGAGTCTGTAAAAGAGGCCCTGCACTACACTTCTCAGAAAGGGACAGTCTGGAGCAGCCAATCAAATTCAACTTGCATATCATTCTGAGAGGCGAGAAGAAATCGGAGATCTCTTCTCTCTCGCAGAAACTCACAAGAAATGACTTCACCATGGGATCTTCTCAGGATGTCAGAGTGGATTTTAACCAGGATACCAGGGCTAACACCCCTACTCAATATGGCAGCCCACCTGAAAGATACTCTACAGCACAGTATTCCTGGCCACTGTACAAGGGCACTAGTTTAGAAACTGGATGAGTGGGAAGAGCACCACCTACTGGTCCACCACCAACACTGACAGCATGATTTCCCTCCCGTCCCTGAGCTGCCCAGGCCCAGCCTCGTGAGACCAGAGGTGCATGTTGGGAGGGACTGCTGCTGTCTGCACCAACCGGGGGGGGCCGGACTCCTCCGCAGTTACCTGTATTTCTCATGGGATCCGTTATTGTTGTTGAAAGTGACGGAGTAACGCGTTCCCTCGCTGCTGCCCCCAGCCTCTGCGAGCCACGACTGCACGACAGGAAACAAAAGGATTCTCTTACCCTCCCGGGACCAGCGAGCGACATGCGTTTTAGAGAGTTGGCAAGTCAGGTTTTTCAGGCTGAGAATCAACATGTCAAGCTTGCAAACAGAGGAGCTCGGTCGGTTTTGACGCCAAGAAGAAAGAAAGGCATCTGCTGCGAGAATAGGCATCTTCTCGCACGAAGCTGAACAGCACATTCCATAGCGAACAAGACCTGGTTTGCACAAACAAGAGAAACACTGGCAAGCCCGACCTGCCTGTTCAGTGCTTACGCTATAAACTCAAAGTCAAGTGAAGTGCGCAGTACAATGGAAGTGTCTTTGGCACCCACAATCTGCACAATTTAAAGAGCCGCACTGTAAAAAACTGCCCAAGGTCTGCCTCGTACAGTATCAAGTCTGCCCTCAAATCCTACCCCATACTTCTGCAGCTCCCCTCGTAGCCTGTCCATGTTGTGGGCGGTCTGGGCGATCTGGGGCGCCAGGCTGCTGGGGTCGCCCATCTGGGGGTTCTTCTCATACACGTCTTTCATCTTGCTCAGGGCCTCGCTGCGGGAGAGAATGGGGGGAGCCAGAGCTTACCGGACAAGAGCAGGGAAATCGGCAAAAAGAACAAAAGACCTCTTTCCCAACTTTCCTTAAAATGTGGGATCGCCGATTACACTCATGCCAAGGGTGTGTTTGCAGGTCTCATGGCTGCCAACCCTGTGACCGCACACGGAGAGAATGAGGAAGTGCTGGCTGACTCCTCTGCCTCGCCCACCCTCACTTCACAGATGGCACAGCCACATCCTGCAGGTTCAGCTCCAGCTGGAGGAGAGCCATGCCCCCCCAGTGTCCGGGACCTGATAGCGCTCCTAATTCCATCCTCCACTAGGTGGCGTTCAGTTGCTCATGCACCACCATTTGGGTAATCCTGGTCACAGTCAGCATGCACCCTGACTACGGCTCGAACCTGCAATGCCTGGATTAGAGTGCCACTCAGAAGATCCTCACCTCTGGTCCACCTCCTTCTGTAGCTCCTTGTTGAGCTCGTCGATCTTCTGCTGCAGCTTCTTCCTCCTCTGCTCCGGAGGCAGGTGGGCGAAGTCCTCGGTGATCGTGGGCTGGCAGCACGAGGGGCAGACGGGTCAGAATCAGGTCATGGTGCCAAGGCGCACGCAATCCAGCATGCACAGGCGCATTGCCTGCTGGTGGGCTTTAGCTCTGGTGACTGGCTGGAATTCAGATGGCAGCAGGCCGAGCGTGTGCCAAATCAAGGGCAGAGCACCAGCTTGCAGAACAAGTGCAGGTGAACACGTTCAGGCTTCATGGCCTGTAGCTACCAAAAGGGGCTCCTTAAGAATGCTTCTTAAGCATGGAAACCCAATGGGGACAGACTGGGGGCATCACTGTCAGACATTGCTGACCTAAAAGTCTTCAGGTGTTGATGATCTTAAGAGGTCTAGGAACCCAGCTGGGTTCTGGCCCGCAAGGACTGGACCTGCACACCTGTGATGTTCAACGTGAACAACCACGTCATCTCATCTGAGCAAAAGCTTCGCGAGTTTTAACCTCCTGACTCTGTGGTCATTAAAAAAAGAGTAGGGGTGTAACCCCGGTGTCCTGGCCAAATTTCCCATTGGCCTTACCAATTATGGCCTCCTAATAATCCCCCTCTATGAATTGGCTACATTACTCTGCTCTCCTCCCCACTGACAGCTGATGTGTGGTGAGAGTACTGGCGCACTATGGCTGCTGTCGCATCATCCAGGTGGGGCTGCACATTGGTGGTGGTGGAGGGGAGTCCCCATTACCTGTAAAGCGCTTTGAGTGGAGTGTCCAGAAAAGCGCTATATAAGTGTAAGCTATTATTATTATTATTAACCGGCCAAAACACAGTGAAGGCTTTCGGCACCGAGAGACCCCTTCTCGTTCATTCCCTGCCGGTGAACTTTTGCTTTTATCAGGATCAGCCTCTTACACCTTTGTCGCAGAGCTAAAACCACACTCCCAACCCTGACTCACAAGATAAAAACAGCAGGGCTGAAGCATTTACCTCTGGGTCCATCCAGCACCTTCTGCTGGGGCGACTCAGCCCCGCATAACAGCTGTGCTGCATTCCTTAGCTGCAGTTCCACCTAACCCCCACCAGATGGCGAGCATGCTTCACTCCTAATGTCTGTTCTTCACTTTCCACAAAACTCATCCACTTCAATTAAACCAAAGTATGCAGACAGCTGCTTATGTATGTTAACATTTTGAACACTTGTTTCAAAAAGATTTCTCGGATGAAGATGACTTAGGAGTGAAATGAACAATTCTGGTTAAATGCTGAAGCGTTATTTTACCCAGGCGCCAATAATAACTAGTTGAATTCAGTGAAAAGTATATGCAACAGCAGTGCAAGAGTCTTTACCATTAGGATACAGAGACCTCACAGGTGAAGAATGTGGTCATAAATCATTAGTCTGCAAAGACCTGCATGAATGAGTCATGTGTTTTGCAGGGGGACTAATGCTTTATGAATGCCATTATTCCGTACTAAAATAAAAAACGTAAACACTTTGACAATGATCCCTTCCCACGCTGAACTCCCTGCTTCATCCCTTACAAAGACTTCTCAATTTCAACAAGCTACAAGTTCGTAGGTACAAAGCCAATTATTTGCCTGTCCAGCTCAGGTCAGATTCTTAGTCTGCAAACTGAAAAGGCGGTTTTTCTTTGCGATGTTTAGATCTCTTCCCAGACATGCCAGCACTGTGCCGAGTTGGAGGTCTGGCCACCCCACTTGTCGCTGGTTTGAGATTAAACGTCACTTGCTAGTGACACAAAATCCAGAGCAGCTGAGCGAGGCTCTGTTCCCCGTGTTTAAATCAGTCGAGCCCATGAGACACTGCAGGCTGGGCATCACAGTGCCAGAACTGGTCTTGTGTTTGTTCAGGTAGAAATCAAGGGCATTTAAAGCTCCCCACAGTGCTGAACACAGGCCCTCTGGTTAAACCAGCTTCTCTGCTTGAAGTGAGGCTCTTGCACCTGAGCTGGCACTCTGGGGACACACTCAAGCAGACAGCGCCCTCTCCGCTCAGCGGCTCCGAGCGACTGGTTCAAGAGCAAACACGCTGCTGGTCTTTTCAGGCTTTTAATCCCTGAACCATCAGCTGGGTTTCTGTAAGGGATGACACACCCTTCCCTCCCACCCACCCCCCACCCTGTGAGTCATGTGTGACACCTCCTTCCTTCTTCCCAGAGTTCCTCACACCAAACCGGACACTTGGAAGTAATTACCAATGACCTCTCCTGGTGAAAGGACTGAAGGAAACGACGACAACAACAACAACAACAACAACAACAACAACAACAACAACAACAACAACAACGAGAGACAAAAACAAGAGGTCTTTGAGAGAATAATAGAAGACGACAGACTGCCTGCTCGCGCTGGCCAGCTGCAGGAGCTGAGAAAGGGTAGGGCTGAAGGGGAGCGTCAGTTACCGGCTGTGCTTTCTAAGATGCATCAACTGAGCACAGACGGGTCTCCCTCTGGGTTCTTTACATGTCAAAGTCACACAGAGCTTGGGGGATATGGCACGAGTACATGATTACTGTAGAAGTATTTTAGTCAAACCCAGTGGGGCATCGCGGCTTATGACCTGTGATTGCAATGGGACTGCAGCTGTTGTTATGACAATAAATCTTACAGAACAGAAGATTAAAACATTCTTTTGAACTCAGATTATATAAGCGATTAAAACTCATCTTCTCGAGTATCGGCGTTGACCACTTCATGTTATGCTGCGCTAAAGCATTATGGGGAGTTTATAATTGGCGACCTTGAGAATAGGAGAGACTGGTGTTTTTTTAAGTGACTTGTTTGTGCCCTGAGGAGTTAGAGGCTAATACAGAAAGGTGTCCTTCCCAGGAGGGGCTTGCAAGCCAGACACTGGACCTAAAAGAGGAGGGGGTCTTTGCTCAACCTGGGTCTTTAAAATCTAGAGACATGGGAATGCTGACCTTTGACCCTTGACCCACAGGACTTACCGTTCTCTTCAGGCTCCTGAAGGAGGAGATGCGTGGTTTGACGGTCTTATTGATCTCATTCAGACAGTAAGACAGGGGGTCCCGGCTGAACTTGGGGGAGGGGGGTCCATTAGCGGGCGAGGGGGCAGGGGGGTTGGAGAAGGGGGTGAGTGGTGGTGGGGGCAACTGAGACGGGAGAAAGGGAGGGGAAAGGAGGGAAGGTGGGGGGGTGGGGACAGGTGACGACATGGGAAAGAAGAGAGACAACATCAACACCCACAAGCAGCACGGAGTCAAAGAGGAGCTGGGGGACAACAAAACAGTAAGGAGATACCCCCCACCCAGAGAACACAATGCAGCACCGACACCAACACAGAAGCACCTTCCGGGCAGAAAACTGTCCTCTTACTGACTGTTCGAAAAGGATGCGTTTAAACCTCAACAGGAGCCTCATGATCCTCTTCTACACAGGTAAGCACCAGTAGCACGACTGGCTTCCCTTGTGAAGGGAACAGGGGTGCACACCTGGGAGGAGCACCTGTCTGAGAACTCCAATCTCAAGGTCTTCAAAGGTCTTTTTCTTGACTATGAACGAAGAACTTCACACTTCAGACAATGAACCCTGCCCCCCACACATGGGTGAGGGGGGGCACCAGGGAGGGCGGGCAGACTCCTGTGCCACACACCCTTCCAACCGCTCGGCTGTCAGCATGGGCAGCACGGCCACCGCGCTGATCCAGGGCTCCACACTGGGACTCAGCCAGCCACAATCTCACAAACGACCATCAGTAACAATGAACTCAAGTACTGAGGCGTTCCTTTTCCAGCATTGCTGGTACTGGTATGGAAATAATTTGTGCTTCCCAATGCAAATGAAGTGAAGCAACAGATGCTACACTTTATAAACCACCTTTTTTTGTTTGAGGACAGTAGTAGAAAAGAAAACAGACGAGCAAAAGGTATTTGCAGCACCAACAACCACAAAAATATACAGTTTTCAGTGGAATATGCGACTGTTTTCTGCTAGGCGTCCCCGCAATATACAGAACTCTGTGCCCTGGAATTCAGATTAAGTGTTTAACAGCACGCCTGCAGTGATTTAACAATTCCCTACAGCAGGAATGCAAAGGCGTCAGAAAACTCAAACCAGTGCTTTGTTAAACAAAGAGAAGGGCACAGGAAAGAGCGACAGTACTTCCTTCAGAGATGTCATTTGCCTGCTGTAAATCCCACAGGAGATTTCCCTGGCTGCAAACTGGCAGATGCTTTTGGAATAAGAATGGGATCACAAACAGCTGTCCTGTTGCTCCTGACAGCACCCCATATGTAACCCCAGCTCCTGATCTACCGGATGCATCCCTCAGTGACTCTGAACTATGAACACTGGAGAACAGCCGCATATTCACTGATCCCCCCCACTTCCAAACCCCAGAACCATGTCCCAGCACCGTACACTACAGCAGACAACACTGGGGGTCACCCTTGGTTATACAGAGAGCACACAGCAGAACGCACTGAGCAGAGATGGGCGTAACACACAGCCAGCCCCAGGAAAGACTACGGACAAGCCCAGAGAGAGGGGTGTTAGGACATGCAGCGGGAGCAGTTAGACAGATGAGGTGGACAGAAGGAGGGGTAAGGGATGCAGCTGTGGGGGGGTGGGTGCGGGGTCCCCCTGCCGTCAATGAAGTGTTAATGCGATGGATGCATGAAAAAAAAAATAAAAAACAGTCCTCCTGTGCAGCTCACTGAAGCTCCGCCGCCAACGCGCAGCAGATCTGCAGTCAAGCCTGCGACCTCAGAAGCCCTCTTCAGACGAGCGGCAGCAGGAGTCCAGCACGGGCCAGACTGAGAGGCACAGGCGCCACTAACCAAACACAGGGTCTCTCTAGGCCTGGAAGAGACCACGCCAGCCAGCCAGCGCAGAGCGAGCGCTCGGGGGGGCTCCTTTCTGCCGCGCCGCTTTAGGTTACGGCACCCACAATCCCGGGGTCCCAGGTACACCCGCAGTCTAAGTCCTTGAAAGGGCCTGAACCGCCATCACAGGCAGCCCATACTGGACTGACACCAAACAGCCTTGATTCTGCCACAGCTCTTCTGAATCTGAAGTGGACCGCGCACAGAGGATGTGGCTGAATGTTCTAAAGAAATACTCAAACCTCTCCTATTCCGGGGAAGGCGAGGAGGCACATTAAGGAAGAACACGAGGGAAAGCGAGAACCGAGGTCTAACAGGAGATCGGCCTGAATGGAGATCGCATACAGCCGCCGAGCCATCGTGCACGGGAGGGGAGGGCGTTAAGTCAGCCTGTTGGACATGTGCCCTGTGGGGAGGCTGGGGGGTTAGACAGCTCTCCAAGGGTCCCCCCTCCCCCTTTCACTGCCATGCACCTGGACCTCCGGCATGCCTTCAGCCAGAAGAGCTACAAGCATGGGACATGATGACGCGGCTCGCCACCCAAACCTCTGCCAGCCCAGCCCCAGGCAAGTGCCCACGTCCCAGACAGGACCAGCCAATCCTCAGTTACAGCGGTAGGGGCCCGTGAATGCACTAAGCCCAGTCCAAACTCCGGATGTGCTAGGAGCTGGAGAGGCCGGGGAGCCTCCTGGCTGATCTGCAATATTTCACGCTGGGCCACAGCGCAGGCCCGCAGGGGAGAGGTTTGGGGCGGCCCGTTACAAAAGAGAGAGAAACGGGGCCATGCACTGCTGATGTCCGGCGCTCGGCACCCCCCTTACTCGAACCCTGCGCAGAAGAAACCTGGAGACACCCTCCTCCTCATCCTCCCCTTTTCCTGCCAGGACTAACCCAGTTTGCCCAATTTTGGTCTTTGTTCTGGGTGGACAAACCAGTCTGGCTACAGTTACTTCCAGGAGCACGCCCCCCACCTGCCTGGACACAGCTGCCTGCCTCACAGTACGAGGAGGAAACTGGGGAACCGCAGTGCAAAACTGACCAGCTGCAGCAAACCCATAACTGGCCCTGCTAAAAAAAACTTGATCCCAGCGCCCAGCAGCTCCAATGAGCTTCTGGATTCGCCGAGCGGCTGTTCTGGAAAGCCCAGACTACCTTGCTCTTCTTGGTGAAGGGCCAGAGCTTGTTGCGGTTCCTGCTCATGGGGCGATCGTGGGGGCACTTGGGGGTCCCCAAACTGCTGTCGGAGGAGGCCCTGTTGATGCCCTGGCTGTAGTCCTCAAACTCCAAATCCCCGGGCCGCTCGAACCCGGACTTGTGCATCTCGATGAGAGTCAGGGAGTCCTGCGGGGAAGCGGCGAGGAACGATCAGCTCGCAGACCTCGCTCGGGCTCGGGATCTCCCGGATCCGCTCGCGGACCCTCCAGAACCACGCCGGCGACTCACGTTTCTCTCGTTGGTGGAGGCGGCTGCCTTGGCGATGCCATCCAGGCACTTCCCGATGATGGGCATCACCCGCTTCTCCGTCTCGGCGAAGGTGTTGTACCCCTCTGCCAGCTTGCGGATCCGCCGCTCGTCCATTTCCTGCAGTTTCTGCGACGCAAGACAGGGGGCGCACTCAACACTCTAGTCCAAGTGTCTAAAGGCACATCAACATGCCCAGAAAGTGATAAAAGCACCCCTGATGTGGATTAACAAAAATGAAACCCTATTGTTTGTTTTTAATTTTGGTTTAGCTCAAGTGCATATTGCACATAAATGTTTAGAATGGACATCAACGTCGCTGAACAGCTTCAGAATCTTCAGTCCCGGATGATGATGATGCCTTTAAAAGTGGTTTCTAAGCTTGTCTCTCATTCTAGGTTAAAGAAAGCCTAGAAAATCTCATCGCACTTATTGTAGCCTGCTTGCTTCTTAAGCACACCAGGAGTGCAGAAGGCAACCTTGGCAATAACAATGCTCTGAGATCAGATTACCGGCACCACAGGAACACTCTGCTCTAGGGCAGGGCAGGACTGCAGAGATCACAGACCTTCTCGCTCCAGCGATCTGAAAAGAGGGGAGGGAGGGGTGCCTTACGTTGAAGATCTGAGGCATGTCGCTGAAGTAGAACTGGTTCTGCTCTCGGTTGTACTTCTGCAGCTGGGCGGCGTAGTCGTTCTTGCACTCCTCCGCCACGTGCAGGCGCGCGTGCGCCAGCGTCTTGGCCTGTGAGCGGGGGAGAAGCGAGATGAGGGCGCGTCCGTCAGAACCCCGTCACCACGACGCCGGACTGGGCATATTATCAATGTCACGCTGGCAGAGGCTCTATGCTGGTAAAAGAACGACGGCCAATGTTGTGAAGACACATCAGCATTCTTCTCACCCTTTCTCAGCAAGCAGCGAGAGACAAAGCTGGTTGGCTGCAGGTTTGAAGCCGAGCCCTGGAGTTTGTCTTTATATGCTGAGTAAACCAGTACCACCCCCACCCCCCCACAACACACACTTTAAATGGGATGAGTCCTGCGTGTGATTCCAGCTCTCAGCTCCTTCTATGTGGAGCCTGCGTGTTATGTTTGTTTTTTTTTTACGCTGGAAAGGTATGTTTGGATGCCCCCCCATCCCCCTCCAGGGTTTAACTCTATACCCAGTGGCCAACAGAATACAGCTTCAAGTTCTGTGGTCATAAAGAACATCGCTTGGCTTTGCTACCCTCTCCACGTCGGCCTTAGTGGCATTGATGTCCTGGTCCGTCTTCTCTGCATACTGGGAGGCCTTCTCAGCTTCCCGCCACTCCCTCTCGAACCGTTTCTTGCTCTGAGAACACAAGGAGTCAACGTAAGGCCCCTGTCCCATCATGCACTTTGACCCAGGGGTCGCGGCCTGCTCGTCAAAACATTCGCTTTGTGTGAAAGCACCACCTTGGGTGGTAAGTGGACCGGCCCAGTGTCGTTGGCAATCCAGTAGTTCAGTGAAGGATCTAGGACATGTATATTAAAATTGTGTGCCAATACCTACAAATGTCTGCGTTTCTTCCATTAACACAGTGATTTTCAAAAATTGTTGGGGATAGCATCAGGAAAAACTCTCTAGAATTAGAGTTATCTAGTGAGGCATAGCACTTAATGCCCTGGACTCAAAACTGGAAGGTTACAGGTCCAAACCCCAGCTGGGGTCGCACCCCTGAACAAGGAGCTTCTCCCAGGTTACTGCAGTAAAATACCCAGCTGTAGAAATGGGTGCAGATGTACAGGAAGTTGCTTTGGATTCGAATAATTAATTTACTACACTGCAAAGAAAAAAAAGCCAAAGAAAAAATTTAAACTGAATAGGTTTAGGTCGACTGTGCTACCTTGGTTACAATTAAAGAGGTAATTAACAGAAATGCAATAAAACTTGGTTCAGAGTTGGGAACAAAGCTAGGGCAACGTCTAGATCTGGTGATCCGACAGGAAACTTCCTGTCCAGACACCGAGGGCAGGAGAACTGTCCAGCAGCGCACAGCAACAGCGGAGAAGAAAAACAACACCTTTATTTTCAAATGAGAAGCCCTGTCCTTAGTGGCCTGCTCTCTGGGAGGCGGGAGGCGTGTCATTATCCCACATTCTGAAATATTTCTGTCTCTGTTGCAGAGTTGCAGTGGTTGGTCCCAATTCGCCGGCCGCCCGCAGAGTTAAATTGCCCTGACCTCCAAGATCTTACCTGACCTGCCCCGAAAACCAGTCTCCTCATAGAGCCCAGACAGATCCATCACAGCCAGCATCAACACACAAGATGAATGAAATTTACAAACAGGCGGAAATGGAGGCACATTCTTTTTTGGTTTCGCTTCAAAGGGCTTGACAAACACGGCCCTGAAGTACAGGGAGAGCAATACCCTTCACAGCCTTAACCCTGGCCTGCTGGCTCTGCCTCCCCAGGGCTTGAGCAGAGGACACTCACACTGTCCAGCTGTTTGTAGCTGCTCTCCAGGATCTGTTGTGCCTTCCTGCCTTCCGCCAAGTACTGCAGGGAGAGACACAGGCAGAAAAAGAGAAAATCAGACTCATATACACTTTATATGGGCACAACATGTGTTCTGATGCATAGATGCTAACAAATAACCCAACTGCACCTATAATTTGTATGGCAAATTCAGCTACAGTTACTAGGTTTAAACAAAAATGTTTCAGGACATTGTCCTAACTTGAGCTTAACCACACCCCTCTACTCAAGTGAAAGGGCTTCTGTCTACAAAGTCCTAAAACCAGTTTTCCCAATCTTTCAAACCTTATGCTCCACACACAATCTTCAGTCAGAAGCCTGTCTTCCTCTGGATAAAACCGTCGGCCAACACACAAAGAGAGGCCCTTTGTAAAACGTTTTATGAAAACCTCTCCAGCAATTTGTCTACCTTATCCAAACACAATGGCAACCCTCAAACTGCCTTGGACAATTATTTTTAAATCTGCACTATGCCTTCACTGCCAGGATTTCACTCCTCCAGGTTGCTGGCTCTGACTCTAAGTGGCGGAAAGGGGTAATTGTAGCTTGGGGATGTGAATGGCGTACGGATGCCCAGTTCTGAGGGGCACTGGAGAGCTCTGCCTCTCCTCACCGTCTTGCGCTCCTGCTTGATCTCCTGCAGGTACTTGGTGACCTCCACGCAGATGTTCAGCATCATGTTCTCCGCGATGACCTCGCGCTGCCCCGCGTAGTCGTTCATCTCCGTCAGGATGTCCTGGAAAGACTGGTAGTGGCTGAACCTAGAGGCAGGGAGAGGGCGGGCACAGACACCAGGGAGAGACCGGGGCCACCGTTAAAGACCGTCATCGTTCACGAGAGGCTTCTCGTGACACGTGCGACAGCGCTCACTTTCACCAACGCGCACACTCGTGAGACACAAGGGTGCTCGACAGGAGCCCAGAAGGAGGGGGGGGGGGAGACACAATGGCTGGAGCAGGCCACAGGCCCACCACGCCGCCTGCCCACTGTGCCACGTGACGAAAAGAAAATGGAAGCTAAAAGAATAAATAATTTTTTTCCCCAGATACTCCCAACACGAGCTGGCCTTCCACCAGCCACCAGCAAAGCCTGTGCACTGCTTCATTTATTCGGGGTGCAGCTGCCTGCCTGGTCTTGTGGTCACGCCTCCCAGGCCCCTGTGCCACCCTTCACCCCTGCTCTTCTGTGCCAACGACGTGTCCCAGCTGCCAGCGCCGGGATTATCAAGCTACGTGAAGTGTCTGTCGACATCCCAAGGTCTCCCCTGCCTGGAATAGCAGAGCCCCACCCATCCCCCTCCCAGCGTATCGCCGTGGCGATGACAGGCCTCCGATAACGGAGTATTGCACACAGAGGCCACAGAGACCCGAAGGCTGGCTGGTGTTGCCTTTGCTGGGAGTGTGCTTAGTGCTCGGAGCAGAGACGGGAGGTCAGAAGTTTGCTTTGCTGGGACGTCCCGACACAGCCCAGGGTGCCAACAGCCTTGAGCACCCGAGACGGGAAGCTTATCTTCCAGTGTATTCCCTGCTCAAACTCACAGCTGTGATGTCTGAAGTGGCATTTAGTGGAACTGAGACATTTGCGCAAGATCCCATGAGGTCTCGATTCCTTTTTTGTTTTTGCAAAGGTAGGATTTCTCTTTTGGTTCCTGAGGCAAATCTACAGGAGGGCAAACAGAGCTCTCATCCTGCTCAGGAAGGGAACAGCAAACCCGTCAGAAAACACTTGATTTGTCTTCAAGTGGGAAAAGAGAAACACAGCCCTTTCTGCTGTGGCAGGGTGGGAGAGACGGCAAGCTTGTATAAAACCTGCCGCTTAAGACATGTCTGTGTTTATCAAAAAACAATCTTAATTTTTACAGAGCTGCACTGGAATTTCCTGTTGCTGGCACATGCATCAGAACAGCATTTTTCATTCGCCCGTAAAGCGTTCTAAATCCCAGCCCCCCCCCCCCAAAAAAGCCTGGCGTCCCTACCTGCACTCCTGCTCCTCCTTGTTCCCTCGTTTAGGGATGTACTTCTTCGTCAGGCTCCTGCGGGAGACAGAGAAGGGACCCTTCAGGCTCAGAGGCGGGTGAGCCTAAGCCGGGACAGGCCTGCGGAGGGGTGGCTGGGCAGCCCGGCCAGATCCCCTTGGGACGGGCCTGAGATCCCTTCCTGAGCCAGGAGGAGGGGGGGGGTCCAGTCCGAGCCCAGTCTGTTCGGGTGTCGAAAGCAGCTGATATGGGGATGTTTAATTGAGGCCTGGTCTGGCTTGGCCACGGTTTAAAACAACAGTCTTTCACTCCTTCACTTCCATGCGCAAAAGCACCAACGAAGCAGACTGGAGAGAAACAGATCTCAGGGGGTCGTCTTACAGGGATGACCTCGCGCCCAAGACCAAGCAGGACTGGGAACTGACAGGCTTTGAAGCAGGAGGGATGTGCTCTCTCGCCCAAGGCATCTAAACGTCAATTAAACAATTAACCATCAATTAAGCAATTAAAGAGCCAGTTCACTTGAAACCCAACGGCACAGGACAGAGGGATGAAAGTGCCCCCCTGAGCTCTGGCTGAGGGGTCTAACTCTTCTCCACGACAGCAGGAGCAGTGCTCTTGAACAAACAGGCTGCTCTTCTCTCCCCAGGGGCTCTGCGTCTCCTCCTCTCTCCTGCCACTTCCTGCTCTCCGTCACATGCCTTCTGCTCCCACTTCCCTACTCCGGGGGTTTCGGTGTGGAGAAGCTCAAAATCACCTCGCAAAGACCGGTCTGAAGGAAAATGCTGCCCCCGCCGCGCTGATGAGACAAGGCACACAGCAGTGCCTCCACCGAGCTGAAAAGGTCACTTTGTTCATTGTTCAGAGACAGCCACACAGGTCAACACGGGCAGAGCTGGCAGCAGGGTGCTCAGGGCTCTGGCCTGGAGGGACGTGGGTTCAATCCCAGGTGGGATGCCGCTGTTGCTCCTCCCAGTAAGGTACCCGTTACCTTGTGGCCTCTCTGGTCAGTGTCACGCTAACGCTGGAGTCACCGGGCCATTACTGTAGGTGACGCTTTGTTCCTAACTGGTTCAGTAAGGGATTACAGAGCAGTCCAGGTTCTCATTTGGCAGCAATGGAATCATGTCTTTCCTCCACTCATAGTATAAACTCACACGTCCATGAATTAACAACTGAACTAGTGCTGGAATGGGCAGAAAACACAGCAGCACTGGTGTCATGTCAGTAGCCCACAGTCTATTTAAACAGCTTTCAGCACCAAGGACATTGCTTATCTAAGAGACAATGAAGTTGGGGCAGAGCAGTGGCTCTGTGGCTAAGGATCTGAGCCTGTGGCTGGAAGGTTGCCGGTTCAAATCTCACAGCCGGCAGAGGAATCCTACTCCGTTGGGCCCCTGAGCAAGGCCTTTAACCCCAACTGCTCCAGGGGCGCCGTACAACGGCAGACCCTGCGCTCTGACCCCAGGCTTCTCTCCCTGTCTGTGTGTCTGTGTCTCATGGAGAGCAAGCTGGGGTATGCGAAAAGATCATTCCTAATAAATTGTAAAGGTTTAATAAAGTGATATTATTATTAAATTAAGTTATTTCAATAACGGTGATAGCTGATGAAGTAATTAAAGCACTGAGGAAGTGCCTGACTCCCGGGCAAGTGGGCCCCACCTGAGCTGCTTGGCGTAGCTCTGCTCGATCTCCGTCCTCTCCTTGACGAACTTCACATACTTCTCCACCTGGTCCAGCCCCCACTGGGTGTGCTTCTCGATGGTCTCGTACTGGTCCTGATGGGGGGGGGGAGAGCAGAAAAAACAGTAAGCTTTAAAGCTCTACCTCTGTGGTGCATTTGAAATCGTTTGCCATTGTGTGCAAAAAGCAAACACCTCACCCCACACCCAGTCCTTCCTTCCCAGAACACAACCGTTTCACTCTCCCAACCGTATTTCCACACCTCTGGCACAAGCGTCAGTCTACAGCTGGGCAGTCACAAGGTACTAGATACCGGTGTGTTGGTCACCTCCTTTTAATGCTTCGTATTATGCAAAGGTTGGGTTAGTCTACCACTAGCATCAAGAAAAGGCCAGATTCCATCCAAAAAAGGAGTGCAGTGGATTGGAACCAGGGTCAGGTGTAATGTATCCAGAAACAGGCTCTCCGATACCGAGAGCAGGGACTGACGTCCTTGTCTATCTGCGATAGAATGCCTGTCATTCTTTCTCCTCATGGGAGCAGTGCAAAGACTACAGAACATAACCTCTCAGCACAAGCTGCTGAAAACCTCTTGACCTTGAAAAGGTTACATCCCAAAATAATGACAGAGGTGGGGGGGGTCAGCACACAAGAGCCCAGATTAGGAAGAAGCTGGAATTGCTGAGGGGGTAAGAGGGAGAAAGAAGGATTTGACAAGCAGGATGGGACCAGGTTAACTTTTTTTTTTACAAAAAATGTTACACATAATTAAGCTCTTTAAAAGCCAATAACACAACACTATTTCTCGATTTGTCTTGCAGAGATCCTCACGCCTGGATTTAGGGAATCTTTTTCAAAAAGTGTGTTAAATAAAGGCAGAGAGACTACAGAGAGATGTAAGTGTCATCAATCTCCAGTAACTAACTGCTCATTTCTGTGCTCCATTTGGATTGCAGTAGACCTTGTGGAAAAGTTTGACATATTTCAAGAACGGAGATTTTTGGGACTCATGTTGACAAAAATAAGAAAATACGCCGCCATCAACATCAATGTTTTCGGTCTTGAACGGTACTCCTTGGCTATCTTGTGTTAAGAGAGGCCCTCTGACTCGTCTGATAGTGAGTAGTTAATTGATCCCAGGATCTCATCCTGACATTTCTCGAAAGACACCAGTTTATCAGTTTCAGCAGCATAACTGGTGGGGTCTGGCTTGTATACTTCCCTACTCCCACAACCTTTTGTGTAAAGAACTATCTCCAATTCTGTCTCACTGCCACCTTGACAACAATTAAGCGACTTGAGGGAGCTACAAATCCGATAATAGGGAAAAAAATATCTGATCGACAGCCATCCTTTCGAACACAAAAACATCCAACATCTGCAAACTCCCACAGCAACAGCACCCCTGGCCGGCGAGTTCGCTGAACAGCACAGAGACGGGACCTACAGCTCACTCCAGCATTCGCCCGGCACCTGCCCAGAGCCCAGCACGCCGGCCCGAGCAGCTCCCCTCCCTCTGCCCTGCTCGATCACCCCTCCCCTCCAACCCAGGAGCCAGGGAAAGCCGAAACGCTCCGTCACAGCAACGGTTCCCATCGCATCTCCTTTTATCTGCGCTAGGCCCCGCGCAGCCGAACTGGGAGGTAGAGCCATTTTTAAAACCAGTTTGCGGCAGAGGCACGCAAGGCTGGAGGACTGATCCCTCTCGGACAGCCGCGCTGGCTGCCCAATCCCCATACCCCCAAGCTCTCTGGCACCCCTCTCAGCCTGGGTGATTAACGCCAAGGAGAAATACCCAGACAGTTATGAGCCCAGCACAACCACAAGCCTGGTCTTGTGTGAGTCTTTTGTTCCTCTCTCGCCCTCTTTGGCTTCTTCACAGTTGACTAACTGAGGCAGAATGCCCTCTGGGAGGTACGCAGGGCTGTGTGTCACAAGTTTCACATTTTCCACCATAAAAGTTCACTCAGACCTTTAACAACAACAAAAAAAAAGGAGGTGCAGGAGCTGCATCAAATAATTCAACCACATTCTTCAGTCTTGTACGTTTCAACATCTGGACTAAATTTCATTTCTGTTTGTTAGAAAGGGGCATCGCTACCTGGGACAGACCTCTGGAGATCACCCGAGTCCGAACCGACATTTCCAACTGGCCCCCCTCGCTCAATCACCAGTGTGCTCTCCTCTCCAGGACGAGAGGAACACAGGAGTGCTACTGGGTCGCAAGGGGTCCATGGGAAGTAGGATAATGAGAATGTACAAATAAGGCTCCCACTGCAGAGCAGTCTGATCCATCTCATGTTTTCAACACCGTGGGGGCTGGTACAATCCGGTCTGGTGATGCACAAAAGCAAAAATGCGAAATATTACAATTACAACACAGCTCCGCTCAGGCAAATTTCCTCAAGATAAGGTAACCACTAGATAACCAGCACCTGGTGTTTACGCAGGACCCTGAAGCCAGTAAAACCTGAAATGGATCAAACTGCTGAGAAGCGGGAGCCTCCTCTGCTTCCTCACTAGAATTCACTGCGCCGTGGAAGGCGGGAGGTTGCCCTGCGTATACCAAGGGACTGAAACAGGAGTCATCCTGAGAGCCAGAGGTTTGGGGGGATTTTCTGCTGGACAGATCCACCTGTCTTTCCTGAAATCTCGTTGCAACATCGAGTGTTGGATGTTCCTCCCACAAGGGGACCAAATCCCATCCAATGAAAAGAATGATGCCTCGTGATTCCCCCCCCCCCGCCCCCATAGATCTTTACACCTGCAGAGCTATCCAGTGAGGAACCACACATGCTCCCTTTCAGGTCATTATTTCTGTATTGTTAACTGGCCCGTTACTGGGAGTCGGATTCACTGGCGTTTCGAAAAGCCCAAAGAAGTGGTTACTTTGTATGCGTACTTCTCGGCACTTGTTTTCTCTCAGTGTTAAATCAAGCACGTTCTCAGGCAGTTTGGGACTTTCTTCCAAAAAACAAAACAGGACCGTCTGCTGCAACACAGTGAGCAACCCCCCCCCCACCACCTGATGAATGGAACAGTCCGTTTTCTTCTCACAGACCCAGGTTAAGTGCAGGCCAGCACCACCTTCTCCTGGGAGGGGAGCAAAAAAAAAAAACTTACTATGCATTTCCTGTGCTGATTTTACCCTGGTCTGACCTTCATTACTGTTTCTTGAGTTAGTCACCAGAAACGATCCAGTTACTCCGAACAATCCTCTTCTCCCTCCTCACTCACAAACCACAGGACACCCCCCTTCAAGACACACGCACACCCCCCCCACAGAAACCACTAGCTTGCAGTATTTCCCCACTGCGGCCTGAGCGTCTACCACCGGAAAACCCACCACAGACGCAACAGAACGTCCAGAAAATTCCACCTGCCAGCTCAACGAAGCCCTTTAATCTGACAGGAGAAGCTCCGGCCCTTGTCACTTCCTACACCACACTGCCCACTGTGCGAGGGTTTCCAGAGAAGGCACGAATGCCTGTTGTAAAGAATATGCCAAAAAAACACACATGCTGCATTCCATTTAACTTGAACCACTCCAGAGCCCAGACAAGGACTAAACAAGACCTCTCCTCGATACCCAGCTTCAGGCAGCTGGACGTGGACGTTTGAGACGAGCAAGGTGGATGAAATTAAACCAGGCCCAGGTTAACCAAGCAGGTTCATGTCAATTAACCTCCCGGTGACACGTTGAATAATCCCTGGCTCATACAGAAGAAGAAGTGGCAGATTGCTTACAACTGTAGCATCATTATTGTACAGTAGATTCCTGATCAGAAAATATCAGGAAACAGGACTCTTTCGTCAACAAGCAGGCGGAGTCAATCTTCACGAGGTGTGAGGAGGGGAACATGATTCCAAAGAGGAATTTTGTGGCGCCGAGCCGTGGGACACACTGCCTGTAATGGAGATGAAGCGTGCCTCACCTACAGCTAAGGGCTGAACCGCACACCCTGAACAGAGCCGGACAACACACAGACAACACACAGAGAGGCCGGGCTCTCTTTCTCACAGGAAGTTCTCCGGGGCGGCGACATCTGGAGATACGCTGCGCATTCCACACATTTCCCTACCCCTGAAGGACTTGCGACCTTTGAACTGTCTTCTGGGATAAACAGTTCTGCAGCGTTTTACTCCCCTCTCTCTCCCTTTCAGACCAAATTGCATTTTTAGACAAATGAGGAAAATATTTTCCTAAGGGGGTAGGATAATATGGTCTGGAAACCGTTTCGGAGACCAGACCCAAGTTGTTCTGCCTTCTGCCCTAGGTTGACCTCCGAACACACGGTATCCCGTTGCCCCTGTCAGCGGACAACGACAGCAACCAGGAAGAAAGGTTATAAAGGAGAGGAGCCTCTCAGCCCATCCATCCTATCTGGTAGATAGCAGTTAAGTGAGCCAAGAATCTCACACAGCTATTTCTTGAAAACAGCCAGGGTATCACCTTCAACAACATGGCTGCTTAACTTGTTCCATGCTCCCACCACCCTTTGTGTCAAGAGGCTCCTCCTGTTCTTAGCCTGTTGATTCTGGGTTGATAGTTGTCCCTACCTTTGAGGATTTTTGAATACTTGGATAAACTCCCCTAGTAGTCGAGAAGCTTTCCCTGTTCAAGAATAAGACATTCCTTTCAGCCCAGGAAAGCACCAGCTTGCTATCCTCTGAACTGACTGTAGAAGGTCACTCGTGGAATATGTGCAGAACTAAACAGAAAGTGGTTTAGAAGATCTGACGTTTAGTCTACTCATCGGCACTCAGTAACCCGAAAGCGATGGGGCCAAGAAAAGCTTCAACCTGGCTCCGTTACAGGTTGCTGGCACAAATGGAAGTGTTACTTAACCCCGTGTACGTAACGAGGAGTTTTTAAAAAACTTTCCTGCTACAGGGTTCCCAGGTTGTGCCAGAGTCGCTCATCGCTGATGTGGACCTCAGTGTGCTTGTGTTTCACTTCCAGATGCGCAAGCAGCACGGGGGAGAAGGGGAATTCTAGGTCTCAGATAGTCATTTCATTTTCTCCTTTTCCCTGAGCAGCGTGTGCTGGCACCTCAATGCCACTGCTAACTTGTAAAACTCCCACAATGCCTTG